AAGGTAAAAGCAAAGTCTCGAGTCCAAGGGCTTCAAGGAATAAAAGACTTTTCCCTTTTGGATAAAGTAGGATTAGGTAGCTGTGAGAACAGAGGCATATTGTCTGTCTTTCTGTTTGAGTGTCATTTCTATCATTTTTTATTTGTGCGATCGCGGAAACCACGTTAATATTTTATATTCTTATTATTTTTTGTCTTATTATCTCCATAAAAAAAATCAATATAAAATGTTGACATAGCTTAACCATGACCACACAAAATAGGAAGAGATGAGAAGGGCATCCAAACAGGAGGGCAGACAATCTGCAAGGGTAAGGAGACAGGCAGGTTAGGTACAATTGATAAATTCATATGTTAGCGTATATTTTTTATGTTCATAAAAAGAATGAGTAAACTGTCGATTTGCCCCCTGAACTATCACCAAACTTTCAATTTCCCCCTTGAACTTTTTAATTGGAAAATTAAGGACTTAAACTAATTTTTTTTTGCCAATTTCCCCCCTACAGTTAGTTTTTCATAGATTTCATCCAAATTAACGTTAACTCTTATCATGTGCAAACCACGTAACTCTCATTTGTGGACAAAAGTGTCATTTCACTAGACCTTTAGATACAAAAGCTATAGAATCACACATATTTGCATAGGTTTATATTTTAGAAATCTAAGGTTTTCAATTATTTTAAAGAATGAAGCGACCAAACTACCCATACATGTTGTGCATATGCTTCCATTTAACAAAAATTTGGATGGAATGAATGAAAAATTAACAGCAGGGGGCAAATCGGCCAAAAAAATTAGTTTAAGTCCTTAATTTTCCAATTAAAAAGTTCAGGGGGGAAATCAAAAGTTGGGTGATAGTTCAGGGGGCAAATCGGCAGTATACTCTAAAAAGAATTTGCATGTTATGTATTTACTTTTAAGGTTGCGTCATGCGCTATAAAATAAAAAACAATACATCCGTTTTTTTGTTCATATATCTTTGTTTTATTAACACTAGCATATGGGAACATACAAAATGTGTGAGAAAATTTATTTTTGTTTTTGAAATAGAAGGAGAGAGGAAGGGAGTGATAGAGAATGTGGGAGTGAGAATTTTTTTTTTTAATAATTAGAGATATGTTAGGATTACATGTAGGTAAGACTTTGAAAAAAAAACAACAAAATTTGGTTGTGCAAAATTACATTTCTACCCCATATTTCTTATTCATGTTTTGTTTTAATTAGAAGGATAAACTAGTAATTTCATAAAATTTTAATTGATAATGAATATTTTATTCATTAGTAGAGATAAAACGTCTCATGAGAGTGTATGACGTAAGTTGTTTTTTTGTAAATAATTTAATTTTGGTCAAATAATTAATAAAAGTTGGACTTTTTTTTACTTGATATTTTTTTATTCTGGAAGATTGTGACAAATATTGTCACGTGGGCTCCACTTAAAGAGTTTATATGGCGTAGTGTCGCCTGGACCAACCCAGAAAAAGAAGAAAAAATCACTACAAAGTAAAAAAGTAAAGAGTTTATATACCATATCCACTGTCAATGTGATCACCATCAATATTATTATGTCATTCTCTTCAGATTGTGACTCATCACTCGCCTTTATTACTTTCCGAATAATCACTAGGGAAATTGCCACATATTTTATAATTTAACCACCACACGCCTCATTATTACGTATAGGAATGATTTTTCAATTTTGAATCTCGCCACACATCTGTCAAGATAACATTTAGTCATCACACAACCTGAAGTTGTGTAGGAATGACACACCATCATAAATACAATCACGTGTAGGAATGAGATTTGTATCTTTTTCATTATTGCAATTCTTCATTACGAGTAGGAATGAGTCACATTGGAAATCATTCCCTTTTAGGCAACACTATCATGTAAAATATTTGATTCAATCATCACTTTCTAATTTGAGCCACACAAGCTTTCAATCTCATCTTTCATATATGCAATAGGTACTAGTCTAGGCCTATAGAAAGGCATAGTTCTGCCGAAGCCTACAATAGGCAACCAATCAGGATGTGATCTCCCATTGCGGATTAACCAAGTAAATCACTCTAAGAACATCATGTAGGTAGTGACCTCCCCCATAACAACTTAACCAAGCAGAGACACTCCTACAAATACTATAGGTAGTGATCAACCATCGCAGATTAACCAAGTATGATCACCTCTAAATATGTATGTATGACCATACCCAAGTAATAAGGATCGCCCATCTTGGATTAACCAATGACGTCCCAAAGTATGGTCCCCCATTGCGGATTAACCAAGTAGTACCATCCATGTACCACTGCTACATGGTGCAAATTCCGATTTTATCCCACATTACCCTCATGTATTGAGTTAGCGGTCCTTTACTAGCCCTCACATATCACAATCATTTCAAGCATACCATATACATATATTTTCGATAGCATCATCAAGTAAATACAGCATGGTAGCGCACATTTCCATAAAATCATGTGTAAGTCCATGTCATATCCACAAAGTATATAATAAGGAATTTGATGGGTAATAACCATATCACTCACCTGGATTATTTACACTTCTAGATTCACCAACTCCGCCTCTAGGAACCTAATACAACCCTCACTTAGGAAACTTAATAAGACTGACACACAGACCGAGGCCAATGATCACTTGCATATTAATTGAGACGTACGTTAACAGGAAACGACATGTCATCGTGATGAGCCAACTAAGCTCCATCAAGCCTCAACAACATTCTAAAAATAAACGACACTTAAGAATAGGGTACATTGACTAAAAAGCTAAACGTTGATCAAAGGTCCTATAAGGTCAACAAACCTAGGTTATTCAATTCAAAAGACATGCGCATCGGATTCCTGATCCGTAAGTTCTCAAAGGTCTAACAACTAATAACTAGGGTGCTTACAAAATTGCACGACGATCCAACGGTCAGATTGTCGTCAATTACAAAAATCGTATGGCGGTACAATTATCTGAAGAATTAAATAATCGAACCATCGTATCGAACTTTGGATATGGGCTGAGGACATCGAGAACATCTCGCTGTCCAAAATCCATAAATTTTGACTTTCCCCACGCGCCGCTGCGAGTGGTGGTTTTTGGTGACCGGAAACCCACTTTTTCGGCTAATTCCAAATTCCTCCAAAATTTATAGGAAGATAGAGCTCAACAAGAAGAATAAGTTTTATACCTGCCACAAAGTCCAAAAGTGGACAGAAGAGAGTCAATTTTGCCGATAAATCAGACGGGTGCCTAAAACTTCTCGGCTTCGATTCGTTGCCTACGGTGGTCCAACGGGGTCAAATCTGATGGGGATTTACTCCTGGGATGATGGGCTACAAGTTCCAAGTGGTGGCATTGACCATCGCTTTGCCGATTCACCGGAAAAATGAAAATGGTGGTCGGAGCACCCTTGGTTTCATCGGATTTTGTGGCCTCGCACCGCCATGTACGGTGGTTAATTAAGGTGGTTCTTGGGTGGGTTTTGTAGAGGGGAGTGAGAGATTTAATTTGGTAGTGTTAGCATCGAAAAACTCCACCGGAGTTGGTCGGAATCAGTGTCGGAAAATGGGAGGTCGCGGGGGTCAATTTGGTGGGTTTCCGGGCTTTTGGGTCAGGTTTCCCAAAATGGAAACTTACCCATTTCTAGGTTTCCACAAATACTCCTTGCTAAATATAGTATGTCCACATGTCTAAAAGGTCTCACTACTTCAGAGGCTCGTAACTTCTCTGTTCTAACTCGAAATTAAGATCTGTTTGTGCTTGTGCGCTTGTGGAATTGAATTCTATCTAAACAACTCAAGAGTTGACCGAAAAGGTTGAGATTCAAAATGACAAAAATACCCTTCAACTAATAGTTATATATACTAAAATGTAGCGTAGCAGTAGTTTTTGTATTGTGTTTTGATGAGTAAATTTAAGAATAAAAATGACTGAAATTAAAATGACCAAATTTAAAATCGTCTCTATCAAATCTTACCATGTGAAATATGTAATGTAATAAACAAGATAACTTGTATATGAGTGCATTAAGGTTTTTTTATTTTTTAAATTTTTTTTTATAAATGAAAGTTTATAGGTTATTCTCATCACCAACGGCGGAGGCAGTATCAAGGCTAGGGTGGGCTCTAGCATATCGAGATTTTTAGTTGTTTAAGGTTAAAAATACTGATAATTTAGATAATTTTATTATTTTTAATTGTTATAGCCCACCCAATAAGTAAAAGTTTTGAAAAATAATACTACTTTTACAAAAAGTAAGAGTTAATAAATTATTTACTTTATTCAATATCAAAATTTATTATTATTATATTTGAAATCGTACACATTGACACACACGTCCCAATAAATCTTTTTATTTGATTAGTTTCTAGAGAGTAGTCTATAGTGATTAATTTAGGTTTCCCAGGAGTAGTCATCCGGTTTTAATTAGTAGATTTAATATTTTATTATTTTAGGTTCCACAAAGCGCGTCGAACTGGAATCACATGTCACGTGGGCTCCACAAAGCGCGTCGAACTGGAATCACATGTCACGTGGGCTCCACAAAGCGCGTCGAACTGGAATCGCATGAACTTTGCCCGATGTCGTTGGTGCAGAGGTCCAACCCAGAAAAAGAAGAAAAAACCACTACAAGGTAAAAAAAGTACAGAGGTACCTATAAAAAAAGGATAGGAGAGGGTTAGAGGCTTAGAGCAGCCCACTCCAATCCCTCTCTTCTCAATATCGTCGCGTGGTATGTACGTCAAAGCAATTGGCTCCGCCTTAAAGTGAAATTTGTTATATTTGGACTTATTTGGACTTCTGTTTTTGGGAATATTGAGATTGAATGACGAAAAGGCCGAAACTTTTATAAGGTTCCTGCCCAAATTTTTTCTTTAAATGATTGAAATAGAAAAAAAATTTTGGTTTCAAACTGTAGATCGATATTTTTTTTTTCAGAATTTACTTGCATTTTTATCTGGTTAAAAACAAAATTACACTAAAAAGCTCTATATAAATCCTTTCCTCTGTTCTCCGGTGAACCCATTCCAATCACTCTCTTCTCAGGCGAGCGCGCCCCCAAACCCTCTCCTCATCGGTGGACTTATCCTCTCCTCTGTTCTCCGGTGAACCCACTCCAATCCCTCTCTTCTCTAGCGAGCCCACCCCCAAACCCTCTCCTCATCGGCGAGCTCACCCCAATCCCTTCCATCAACCCCAAGTCCACCCATCCCTCCTCCGGCGACCTCAACTACCCCAACCCCTCTGTTCGCCGGCGAGTCCAACGTCCCTCCGTTCGACGGCGACCTCACCTAGTCCTCGAAATAATTTAGTGGGCTAAGGAAGTTTCTTGGCCGTAGGATCGATTTTGAAGGGCTGTGATTAATGGATCCCTAGGCTCCAAAAATCTGCAGAAATCTGCAGAAATCTGCAGAAAATCTGCAGAAACGTTTGATTCGGTTAATTTGAAGTATATACACACTCTCTCTCTCTCTATGCTTTTCGTTTTTCCATTTCATTCAACATTCATCTTTCTCTTGATTTTTATAATTAGGGTTTGTATTGTCCCCAATATGATTTCAATTATGTTTTCTTTTTGTTCGTTTTATAATTAGGGTTTGTATTGTCCCCAATATGATTTCAATTATGTTTTCTTTTTGTTCGTTTAGGTGTATTCAATTGGGATTTTAAGGAATTTTAATTATTTTAATGAATCTAGGTATTTAATCAGGAATTTGAGTGATTCTTTGAAATTCAATATGTATTCATTTTAAGATAGTTTATGAAAATCTTTAGAAATCCGGTGTATTCAATTAGGATTTTAAAGAAGTTTAGCACATTACAGGTGTATTCAATTAGAATTTGATTTTAAATAATTTGAGAAAGTTGAGGAATTAGAGGGAATTGGAGGATTTCGTAGTGTATTTTGAGCATCCACAAATCTCACATCTTCTCAAGAGATTTCGAAAGAATTGAATCAAAATTTTACATGGAATCTTTACAAATCAATTAAATTCCATAAAAATCCATGGATTTATAAATCTATTAAAATCCCTCCTTAATTTTCTAATTAGAATACAACAAAGATTCTTGAACTTTTTTTATAATTTTTTTTAGGGAGAGAGCAGAGGGCAGCAATGACGAAGGAGTCCAAAGGCAAGTGTGAGGCTGCTTCTCACAAGCTACTGAAGGAAAAAGCAAAGACTCGAGTTCAAAAGCTTCGAGGGATGTTCACCAATATTCAAATTGCCAGGAAGGAGGGTCGGACTGCCGACATGGCTATCTTCGAGGACCAAATGGATCAGATGCTTGGCGGGTGGATTGCCGAGCTCAATGACCCGTCCATTGCATCTTCTTTGCATGTGGGTTTTTTCTCATTCGCTGGCTTTGTATTTCTTTTCGTATTTTGTGTTTTTGTATCTGAATAATGTTTGGTAGGTGTATAAAATTCGATTACATGTGAAATCTGTAGGGTGGTAGCCATGGAAGACTTGAATCATTTTCTGATGATTTAGCCCGGTTCTCCAAACAACAATGTGATGAGAAAGATGATGCAGAAAGTCCATTGAAGGATTTGCCACAACCTAACCTTGAAGGCCCAGAACCTGAGGTAAATACTTTTTTCTTTTTTATGGTGGAAGATTTCCTACGTTTGTTTATAGGACTCGTCTGCATATTAGTTTAACTTTTCTTCATCATTCAGTCTGATCGTATATTAGCTAAATTTTCATATGACATTTTCTTGATGTTTTCGCATTTAGTGCAACATGGTTTTCCTTTCCTGTTGCGGGATTCTGTAAACGAACAAGATTTTGAGATTTATTTGACCTTGTTTGGTGTTTATCTTTCTTCACATAACCATCTGGAGTCCTGGACAACCAAGAGGTTTATTGAAGTTTATTGAACAACATATTTGTTTGATTTAGGGACGTTTTGTGTAAGTTTTCAATAGTTTTAGAGTCCAATTCAATGTTTTCTTCCCATATTGGTTGCTTTCTGGTGACTAATGTAAATCTTGTCAATTGACCCAAAAGCGGAATGGAAGATGGAACCATGAATTGGGAAATTAAGCATAGGATTTGCTTTGTATGATTTATTGTATTCTTGACAGTACTCAATTGTTCTTCTATGCTCTGTGGTTTCGGAATTTTTAAGGATATGTCTACTTGAGTTGTGATTGATTACTGATGAGCTCCATGCTTAACCAATTTTTCAGGACTTTATCGTTTCTTTTAAGGGACCTCCAGAAGATATTTTTCAGGACCTTGAATTTCCTGATGTTGTGCCAGATGTTATGCCGGATATATGTCCTCCAGCATCTGCTTTCAAGAGGCCAAAATGTGCTCTTTGGGAATGTTCCAGGCCTGTCCATGTTTTGTGTCAGGACTTTTGCAGTAGTGGCCATGCCCATTTAGCAAGAAATGAAGGTCTTCCTGGGAAAACTCCGGTTCTGCGACCTTGGGGCATCGCTTTGAAGGATGGTTCACTTTTTTGCCGCGCTTAATGATAAGACACAGGGGAAGGATGTCGGAATCCCTGATTGTGATGGGGCTGCTACTCTAAGATCTCCATGGGATGATCCGGGTATATGCTAGAATCCCCTCATTTATATATATATATATATATATATATATATTATCTTGTTGGGTGTTATCCGCCAGACCATTCTACAGCATTGCTGACTTCTGTCAACCTACTTTTGTTTGTCATGTTTTTCCTATTAGCTAGTCATTTATCGGTTCAGAGTGAAGTAAATTATTACTTTATTTATCACTGACTGGCTACCAATAATTCAATATTGCAGAGCTATTTGATCTGTTTTTGCACGAGGGTGAAACGCCTAGGGAGTGGCTCTTTTTTGGCAGGCCTAGAAGAGCCTTTGAGAGTGGAAATCGGAAGCGGAGGTTACTGCAAAACTACAGAGGGCGTTGGCATGTATCAAGAACGCAGGAAATGATGGAATATGGGGGGCAGAAAAGGTCCTATTATATGGATCCACAGCCTTCAAGCGATCGCGAGTGGCATTTGTTTGAGTATGAGGTCAACAACTCAGACGCCTGTGCACTATATAGGTTGGAGCTGAAGTTTGGCACGGCAAAGAAAAGTTCCAAAGGAAAACAATCAAATGATCCGGTGGGAAGGCTCACTGCTGAGGCTTCTACAGAAGTTGGAAACAATAGCAAGGGAACAACTAGCAAAAACGCTGAAGCTGGAAATATTTTTGGCTCGGATAATCAGACAAACTCCTTGTACCTAAACCCCGAGATGAGTTGGAAATGTTAGTTAGGTTAGCTTTGCTCTATAAGTAGTCTATAAGTAGAACCAAAACCTTTAGTTTTGTGACCACTTAGTCATATCACCCCTAATATGACTGGCGATTGTGGCGCTTGGTTGTGAATACTTACTTGCCCGCATGTAAAACGAGTCTAACAGTGAAGTGGTCACGTTGCTGGGAGTTTAGTGACTTTTTGTTTGGGTCATTCGCCAGCGATGGCGTTATTCTACCTAAACCCTACCATTCAACAACTTGATTCATTTAGGACCGTTCATTTCGTTGGTCTTCATAGACTCTTTGTTGCTTCACAGTTTAACGCTAATTCTCGTTCTAACATATAAAAGGTCGTACCCAGTGCACAAGGCTCCCGCTTTACGCAAGGTCTGGGAGAGGTGAATGTCGGCTAGCCTTACCCCCATTTATGGAGAGGCTGCTCCCAAGTCTCGTTCTAACATATGTAAAAAAAAAAAACATGGGATAACAAAAAGTTCATGAAGAGTCTCATTTTTGAGCCTTCTTAACGTTGGTCCATTACAGTTGTTGTAGAAGGTAACCTACTAAAAGTCCCTGGTATCCGTTTTGAATCCAATTTTTGTTTTCAAAAATGATAAATGTAGCTAAATTACTGAGAACTTGTTAGTTTCAAAAACTGAAAACCGAATTCAAAGAACAATACCAAACACCGCCTCTAATTTTGGTCGAGGATTAAAACTAAATGAGAACAAGAGCAGGATTCAATTTTTTTTGTTAAAAGCCAGCAGATTTATTTTTACAACATTACTTTGGAGTTGATGCCATTAATTAGATATAAAACGGCGTACATTATTACAAGTATTAGACGACAATACTTGTGGCTGAAGAAATCTTTTGGGAAAAGCTGCTACTTGTGCTAGTGCTGCTCAACTGAAGACCACGAATTTGAATCGATCCAGTTAAAAGCTATGGGACTCAGAAAAGCATCGGGGATGCCGAAGGAACTCACCAAGGCCAGTGCATGCGGCCGCAATTCACCACACAGTCTGCTTACTTCTTTCCTCACAGCAGCGACATTATTGGTCGATAAGTACCCATATCGGAGGAATGCCGCATCTTCTTCCAAGCAAATCAATGCGTACATAGACCTCAACAGAGCTAAGACATTCTGCAGTGAAACAAAACTCTGACTATTACTTCATAGGTTTTAAAAATGTAGCCATAAGCGAGGTTATTAACAAACATTCCAGATTGGAAAGTGTTCACATCATTATAGTGGGGAAAGCAATCTTCAATAGACAGTATACTAAACGACTCAGATTTTCGGTATTCCGAAAACTCAATCTTAATGCAGAAAAAGAAGCCAGACAAAAATGTCCGATGAGGGCCGATTTTGACTCGGATGCAAAGAAAAACCCTGAGATTATTTCCGCTTCCCTAAATCTAAAACCCCCTCCCTTTCAACCCACCTCTCATTCTAATCAAGTTTTATGACTGCATACCCGATTAGTTTCAGTCATATGCTCAACTAGAATCTGTAGTGCAGTAATAAAAAAGCAGTCTCAGATCCTAGGACTAAATTATCAAGCGTCATGTCTGACAATGTCAAAGACAGTTGGTAAGATTTACCTTTAATGAACCAGCAGGTAGTGCCGCCTCAGCATCTATGAAGGTTTGCAATATTGATCGATCTGCAAAAGCTCTGCCCAGGTCCCCTGCAAGCTGATAACTCTGGTACAGGAAAAGAGTGAGCAATGAGAGAGTTCTACAGAGAGAGTTAAGAGAGAGAGAGAGAGAGAGAGAGAGAGAGAGAGAGAGAGAGAGAGGTTTTAGTAAGGAGAAGAAGATTCTTACAAGAATGATCGAGTACTCTTTGCTTTCTCCCTGTTTTTGACGTTGTGACACTTCCATAGCAAATCTATTCAACAGATCTCGCTCTCTTAAGCAGAAAGCATCCATCTAATGTCGACAATCAATGAGAAGATTTAAACATGAATAATCTTAAAAAACAATCCAATGATGCTTCTAATACTATTTAAACATAAACCAGTGGATCTAACAAATAAGATCAACCTTTTCAAAAAAAAAAAAGAAAAAAAAACAAATAAGATCAACCTGGAATTGGCTACACTGGAGGGTAGAACTTGTAAGTTGAGATGGAATGACAGGGCAAGGTTTATTCATATGCTCTAGTCCCAAAGCTTTAAATGGTTTGCCTCTCTTCTGAGTTGCTATATACTCGGCAAGCAGTGCTTTGCTGACCTGAGTTAAAATCCAAAAATTCCACTATTTGAGATAGAACTCCGATGAATGGCAAAAGAGAAAACAATGCTCTACTTTTCTGGCGGGTTCAGAGACTAAAAGGAAACTTATCTACTAGCATATTCCCACCATTATCCGTCCACTAACCTAATTCATCCATGTTACTATACATTCAAGCAAGAAAGCATTTCCGGATATATAACATTAATCTTTACACACACACACATATATATACATATATATGTTACCTTACTAACAGCTTGGTTTCAATGCAAAAAAGGAAAAGTTACAATCAATTTCAAAGTAACAAACTTGGAACCTGTTTGAACATAAAATGATGTCCATCCAAGAAGGTCATTCCTATATTACAGTCAAATTTGCGTCAAAAGGCAATTATAAAAGAAGTACTGAACACACTACAGCTCACATCAGCGTTTTTGTATTCTAGTTAAGAAAAATTGACTTTGGTTCCTAGAAATTCTATGTCAACGGAAAATATCTTGCAGTTTGAACAGAAGACTTGAAGCTACCTGTTGCATCAAAACATTGTTGTCCCCCTCAAAAGTGGACTGCACATCAAATTCACCTTTAAAATGACCAACACGGTTTTCAGTCTTGATACCTTGCCCTCCACAGGCTTCGCGGCATTCCTGAAGTATACATCAACTTTCAGCAAGGCCAAATAGAACAATAACTTTAATTTGCAGTTCATAATTCAATTCCTAACCTGAAGAGTCCGCATGTTATGCCAGGTATGTATAGCCTTAAATGCACTAGAAACAACATGGATGGTTTTGCTCGACTCAGGCGTCCTCTTAACATAAATCATCTTTAAGTAATTTGAAGCAAAAGTCATAGCATATCTGAAGCAACGGAGAAATAATAATAAAAATAATATCAAAACCTAGTGGTTTAATGTATCAACATTCTTCTCACAGTGCCAATAATTTCATCACATAGTCATTGACCGTTTGTACCAAATCTGAAAGAATCAGGACCGACCCTTAAGCACAGAATTATAAAATAGAAAATATCTATTGTTCACTTTTTCTTATTAAACACATGTTCACTGTAATATTGACACCAACAAAAAAAGAAATCTCAGACTTTGTCTTCAGTTTGGTTACAGAAGTAGCAAATATATTATGAACTTGGTTGGCTGTCTTAGTTAACACAAAATATCCAAGATCTAAGAGCATGAAATATATCAGTAACTACAATGAAAATAAGAAGTATTTCCTAGACAAGATAAACCAGTGATTCTATACAGACAGTATAATTTAACTTGTGCAAATGCTGTTCTAGCAATAAGTTCCAATTGAACCGAGAAACTGCAATGCTACAATCTTACGTCTTTGCAAGAAGAGGCAAAAGCCGCTGTTGATGACTGGGGTAGTCAAGCAATAGGACTTCAGGCCCATTTGGCGTAACAGAAAAGGCCCGCCTTGTCAATGAGTACCTTATGGCTATTGCTAAACTAATCTGACCACAGGGAAAGAATGATTGGTCAATGATGAAAATTCAGTTGGCAGAAGATATCTGCAATCCCTCAATCTACAAATATGTAGATGAAAGAATAGTTAATTGCCACCATGCTTGAAACCCATTACCTGTGATGAGTAAATGGAACTGACTGCTATAGTTACACGACCAGATGTCAATGGAGCCATGAATGCTGCAAATCTCTGAATGAAAGAAACAAAGTGACAATAAAAGGAGAGAAAATAAAAGGAAAACAAATATGTTCAGGTGGAAATAGAACTACCTGATCTGGGTCTTTTATTGCACTCAGATATTTCCCATCTGGAGAAACATCAGCTACTGAATTTAACAAATTTTCCCTCGGAATTCGAATGTTGTCAAACCTGTAAACACATTTCTAAATCCTCTAAGCCAGAGTTAAAACTTAGAGAAATCTGTAATAGAAATGAATAGTCAATTAGATGAAAAGTCAAAACATGATTACCATATTCGACCATTATCAACACCATTTAAGCCAATTTTGTGACCACAATCAGCAATACGAACTCCTGGACAGACATTACCATTTTCATCCCTGATCTGGGCTATAAGAGCATGGACGCCTTGGTTGTTCCCGGATATACTGAGTTGTGAAAAGACTATTGTGTGTGTGGCATGCTAAACATTAATAAGAAAAGTAATATATCAGTGTACAGACATCACTGATGGAGGAACCTTATTGGGAATTTGAAGTAATATGAAGTAATTTGAAGTAAGATGATCCTTACATTAGCTGCTCCTCCAATCCAATACTTCTGAGCTGATTCGCAAGGAGTATTAATAACAAATTCTCCAGTACTCGAATCATAAGTGGTGACTGTTTCAATCCCTCGAACCTAAAAACACAATTCCGAAAGCAATAAGCGAAAACTTATCAAAATATAAGACAAACAACAATCTGCAGGCATGAGCTCAGCATACATTACTGCCATGGCCCAACTCAGACATTGCAAAGCAACCCTTGATTGCATAGTTCTCAGTGTCACTCAGCCACTTGTCGTGATGGCGCTTTGTGCCGAAAAACTGAATGGCACCGCCCCTGAAATTCATCAACAATCCGATAACTTCGAAATCAATTAACTCCTTCCTTAACATTCCACAATTGAAAATTTGAAATTACAAACAATGCCATGAAATTTAATGGGTTATACCACAAAAAGAAATGGACACCAAGCTTGACAGCAAGGGAATGATCAAAAATCCCGATAACCTCGAAAAACGCAAACTTTCGCAACTCGGCGTCGACCCCTTTATCCGTAAGCCAGCCTTTGAAAACCCCGCGATCCAGCAAGTAGACAATTCGCTTCATGGTCATCTGCCGCTGCTGCTCCATGCTTTGGTTGTAGTCCGGCGCGATAAACACCCGGCCCCCAGCCTCTCTCGGATTAAAGAGCTTGCTCTGCTTCATGAGGCCGAAGAGCCAGTCCCGGTCCTCAAGATTGTGCGCGTCGAGGAGCTTGCGCATCTCCTTGGTGTCGAATTCGAAGGGCTCCGAGAGCTCGGGAGGAGAAAAGCCGAGGCAGGGGTTGGGGGAAAGAGGGTTCGAGCTCCATGAGGGTTGGTTGAGATGATTCGAGAGGACTCGAGTTCGCCACGTCACGCGATCCATCGCCGTATGCGGAGGAGGAATTTCAGATGAATTTCGAGAGCGAGGGAGAGAGATGGAGTTTGGTGAAGGGAGGTTGGTGGTTGCCTGACTCCACTATTATATGAATATATATGGGGGGGGAGAGAGAGAGAGAGAGAGAGAGAGAGGAGTGATTATATGAATATATATGGGGGGGGAGAGAGAGAGAGAGAGAGAGAGAGGAGTGATTTGGATTTACGCGCGCAGGGAGGGAGTGGGCCAGACCTGGTTCATCCACTGGATGCGTCGTCATTTGGATCACATGGCAGAGGAAAAGGCATGAGGAGTACCACGTCAATGTTGTTTTGCATTTTTATCCTTTTTTTGGCAGAGTTTAGATTTTCTGCATTCATTTTTGCCTGTGGCCTGTGCCTTTGCTTATTAAACTAAATATAATTAATGTTAACCTGATAATAATTAAAATAATAAAAAATAAACAAAATCATCAACCAATTAAGTAAGACATAGAGAGGCCACATGCAAAAATGAGTGCAGAAAATCTCAACTCTTTTTCGCAAGCGTCATGGATTTCATCATTATTGTGGTCATGGCAATGGGGATGGGGAAAAAGGTGATACATGCCCATTTCCAATAACGGACTAAGATTCTCTCTCGTTCTCTTTTCATTCTCTTCCATCATTTTTCCTCACATTTTCTATTTTATCTTTCTCTTTTTATAAAAAATTAATATAATATGTTGACGTGTCCTAATTGTGACCGTTCAAATATGAGGAGAATGAAGGAGAGGAAATAAAAAAAGGAAGAGAATCCTACTCCCCCAATAACTGATTGAATGTTATCTTTTTGAATTGGGAATTGTCATTCATACTTTCTATTCACATTCAATATCGAAATGAAGTGTTAGGTAATTTCCTTCGTCTTTTCTTGTTGCTTGTCCATGTAAACCAAAAAGTGAAAAGAATTTTTGGACAAATTTTTCAACCTCACTGGACCCTCAATTTATAGTTATTAAATTAAACAAATGAAACAAGACTCAAAAGCTAAAATTAAGTGGGGTATGTGAAAGAAAAAAAAGTGTACAGAAATTGCGCCTCTTCAAGTCCACATTACAATACATTCTGTCAGGGTTAGTCCATAGAATTTTGACGCTCATGCGACGCCAAAAAATGTGTCCTGACTTCATATAAGAAAATTATTTATGTGTGGTCATCGTTTGCCTCATAATTATACCTTGTGTTACACCCAACAGGGCCGGTCCATAGAATTTTGACGCTCATGCGACGTCAAAAAATGTGTCCTAACTTCATATAAGAAAATTATTTATTTTCACACATAAGACATTGATAAAATTATACTTAGAAAAGCAGTTCAAACTCAATAATTTAGAAACACAGAAAGACTAATTTATTTTGTATCTAGATAAGGAAACCAAAAAACTCCGGGCTTACATGTAGATAGACGATGAGTTTTGTTTTCCATCTGAACTTTTAAAGCGTTTTTGTATAAATCGTGAGATGTTTTTTTCTTATTTACTAACCTTATCAATAAGAGACTAAAAAACTAATGATATTTTCGAGTCTTTAATTAATATGTATAAGTAACGAATGGGCACTAAATTAAACATTTTGATGACACGTCTTATGATTTGCAAATTTGCTCCAAAAATTTGGTTTACATATTACTCTTTGTAGAAGATTAGACTTGAACTCAAACGAATATTTAAAAATAGCAACCCATATAGCTACTAGCTAGTAACTAAAAATAAATTAACAACCAAACAAATATTCATAAAAATTGAAAAGAATAAACACGCGCATTTCGAACTTAGGAAATCTCGTTAATTATAAACAACAAAAACTATTGCTTCTAATTAAACTTCTTGATCATTTAACCAAATTTTACAAATTTATACTCTTATGAAAAGAAATTTGTAAAAATTGGAAAGTAGATAAGCATAGGTGGTGTTTTGAACCCAAGACCTCTTCATTATTTTCAAATGACAAAACCACCACTTCTAGTTAAATTTTTGTCATCGAACCAATTTTTATAAATTTATACTCTTATGAAAACATATATAAATATATCACCCTAATAATTTTAATGCCCCGAATTTTTTTGAGCCCCGGACAGTCGCCCTGCCCGCACTGGGCCTGGGCCGGCCCTGCATTCTGTGATGTTGTTGTCTATGAGGATTATGGGGTTAGCATGAAACAAACTAACCTACTGATTTGAACCGTTTTGACCGGTTAAGTTAAGTTTGGTTTATTTTACACATGCCAACATATTATAGGTTATTTAAAGGTCTTACCCTATACATATTATAAGTTAACTTTGATGATCATCACATAATTAGGAAATTTATTTGTATTATATGCTTATGTGATTGTCTAATATATCGCTTGCTAGCATGAGATCTTATTTAATTAAAACTTAATTCTAATTGACTTGATGAAAATTTTCATGTTCCACAAAACTTGATATTTTGATTGAATTAGAATGAAAGAGATGTGTGAATGGTTTATTAACACTCAAAATTGGAAAATCTACCAAAGACTAGGATGGCCAACCCTTACTAGGTGTGGTGGTAGGACAAGTATGAGAACAACAAGGTTTAAGCAGTTCACACGTGAGACTGAGCTACGTTCACTGAGAAAATATATTTTTATATTTCCTGAGAGTTGTAGTGGTGCTCAAAATTTTGTACTATAAAGTTGTCAGGTCTGCCATCCGACTTGAGAAGTATTTTAAATTCAACGCTTGTTACTTTTTAATCGATAATGAAGAAATGATGGTGTATTGGCTCGAGTGGTCAATGACGATGTTCTTCATCCATCCTTGAGGTAGTGCTCGGCATATGGAAGCTCTTCGGCTGGTTGGCAGGCCTAGTAAACCAATTCAAGTGGATACTTTTTCTTCTTCCTCTACCAAATCAATCATGCCACCCAAATCAATATGCGAATTCAGCTAACTGGAAATATTTGTGTTGAGTTGTGCATCTCCACAAGATACATATGCTATAACCAAAATCTGGTATCGTATTATTAACTCTAACACTTGCTTCATTATTGTGTGCATTTAAGTTTACACACAAAATGGCAAGAATCAAGAATATCCTACTTCCATTTTTCCTTCTCACCAAATACATCATCAAGTTTCTTTGCTCATCAATATTTGTTCAAGAATATCAAGAACACCAGACATCCAATAAATCTTCCGCGACGCATCCAATTCCAGCAAAAATGCGGTCTACTTGTAAAGTGAGAGTATATATCGTATAATTACTACTCTTGATACATTCAAGTATTATACCTAACGACGTTACAAAACTGCAGAGATGGCAGGATTCATTCCTTTTGCCTTTTACTCATGCTTTTACGCTTGTTAACATCCAGATACTTCTTCCTTAACCGTATTGTCTTTGGTGTAACCTACACGTATAAAGCATCATGGGATAATTGCGCGTCTAAAGCAACAACTTTTATATAAAACGAGCAAACTTAGCACCTGTTTGGTAACCTTCTGGTTTTCAAACTTTTTTTTTTATAGATAATGACATAAAATTAAGACTGTAGAAAACGACATTATTCTATTCATCCATTTGTTTTTTTCTTCTTTTCATGGAATTAGTAAGTCAATAAGAATTTTCTCAACTAATTCACCAACTAGCATCTGTATGAACTTTGAAATGTGATTTCCGTTGCAATATACGACCAACGTTAACTATTAGGGGTTAATCATAAGCTGAAGGATGAAGTTAAAATCAGACTTACCTCAATCAGTTCATCAGAGGCTACATACCCTATTGCTTCTTCAAGAGTCATCTGCAACCCAATGCCTTCAGATATTAGCAATCACGGAACAGATAAAAAATATATAGCAGTAACCTTTATATATTGCAGCAATGATCTTCCTATTATTTTCCAATTTCTCATAAAAAGCAGAAGAAGAAGAAAAAAGGAAGATCATTGTCTATAATCCATATCTTTACAAAAAGGCTACAAACCAATCTCGATTAAAGTGCAGTGACTATACAATGCATGCTATGAAACAAATATAAAGAATAATAGATTGGTTGATACATACAAGGCGAGGAGGAGATAGTTTCACATTCTCATCCTTGCTAGCAGCACGCACATTTGTAAGTTCCTTATTTCTAACTGGGTTGACCTGCACAAGCAAGGTGAGTCAACTAAATACCACACAATTTTCGATACCCTAAACATTAACACAATTCTTAACACGAAAAGCATAAAATGTACTTACATCTAGATCCGTGTCCCTCGAGTGCTCGCCAACAATCATGCCATCATATGTCTGTGTTAACGAGCAAAAGAAAACCAAGTTTATTATCAAACAAAACCAAGTTTACCTGGTTCCTTTACTAAGGTACCCTAGGTTCTAATTTCTTTTTAAATCAAACTGCTTATTCAGTTTTCTAACATATTTATTTCTATGAAACACAGCTTTGACCCTTCTACTACAGTCACATATTTTTCACCCGTTATTGTGGTTTGAATTCTCTCTTTATAATCTGGAAACGAAAAACAGCACTACACTCATTTTTTCTTCTTCTTTTTGTTGTCGGAACAGGACCACGCTCACTTCTGGGAAAAAGGATCTAAAGTATTCCAAGCATAAAAGATGTTTTTCGGCAGAGAGCCAGTTGTTAAAAGGAACATACTGATATCTTATCAAAATAAAGAAGCACCCTTCAGTCAATATGAATTAATTTTATCAAATTGTGGGAAGGAAAAAGACAAGCAGTGACATGCTGATTAAACGTGTACCAACCTCCATCCCAGGAGTGACAAAAAGAGTTCCGCGAGGTTCTAAACTCATTAGTGCATACGCTGTGGTTGTACCATAACCCATTGACACCTATAGAGTTAAATACAAAGAGATATTAATTGTCATCTAACACATACAACTTTGATATAAAAAAACAGGGGCACCATATAGAAGATTTAATAAGATATGTTAGAAGCAGAATTACAACATCTTTTGTTTTAAAATAAGGGAAATCATGCTTAAATATTTTATTTTATTTTATTTAAAAGAATAGCCAATGTTGTAATAATTCACAACAATCAGCTAGCTTTAGATCAAAATATAAAACCAAAAGCAGATTTTCAGAGACGTCTCTAGTAATTAAGATGTCGTTAAATACATACCTATCCTTAAAAAAATAGCAGTTTGAACAATAAAGACATTTTAACAATATTAAAACAGAATACATTATAAATCTAAAGGCAAGTACACACGTACCAACACTCCTTTCCTGACATCTCCAAGAGGGCCTCGATATTTTTCATATTCTGTGTAAAACAGATAACATGCATGAGAATGTTAAAATCAAACGAATTTTCAATCAAGCAACAACAAAGCTAAACAAGAGTCTGGCTCGTAAACTGGCAAGATTTTAGTTAGGGTGGTATTTGTCCACCCCTAATATATGAATATAGGCACAGATATTCGGACACTAACATGTTAAATCCTTGCAATTTCCAGCCTCAGGGTCACGTTGTGTCCCGGCATAATTTAGGTAATGAACAATTAGGATAAGAATTAACTCCCTATCAAGAACCCAATTACATGACAGATTCATAGGGAACCAGAAAGGCAAAGGAATGGATAGGTAGGAATAACAATGGGGAAAATCATACTTAAGAAAGCACGGTGCATAAATCCAGTTCCACGTGTGTCACTGCTAAATACGCTTCTGTAACCAACCAGGCCCCTGAAGAATACAACAGAAAAGATCAATTCTATTATTGATTGCCAAAAACCTGTCATCAAGATGGGGTCCACATAAAAAAGGAAAACGTAAATGATAATCCAACTAATTGATCACATGCAAAATGGTTAAAGATTATGCCATGCGACATTGGTTGTGCAATGGTAAATAGTCACCGTGAGCCAAATCAGTAAGATGATATGATGATTTTTTTTCCTGATAACAATATCAATATGCTAGAATATATAAACGATACAATGTATAATGATATAATGATCGCTTATACAGCACAATAACAAAATGAGGAAGAAAAGGAGAATTGACATTGAGAGGGAAACAGAACCTTGATGGACATGTCAAAGACAATCTAGTCCGGTCGGCACTTCCTGGAACAGGACCCATCTCAACAACCTCAGCTCGCCTATTAGATAAGGCTTGCATAACTAACCCCACATGCTCTTCATTTACCTGAAAATAATAGCCAGTGCATATGAGTCTCAGTTGTTGAAAGAAAAGAGCAGCAAAATTTACATCTCAAAGTCTTACCTCGATAGTAACTTCTTCAATTGGCTCAAGTTTATGACCACTCTCTGTTTTGTACCTGATTCAGTAAAGCAAAAATTGCGCCAGCTGTTTACATGAGTAATGCAACAATAAAAAAGATAAAACGAATAATCATACAATAAAAAATCTGTGTGCATGTACATACAATAATATGGAGCACATACACATAAACACATGCAATAGCCGTAAATATACCAAAATAAAACAGAAAATAGGAGCTGCAACTGAATAATCACTGATTCCCTTTTTCAAAGATCAGGTAAAAGTAGAATTTGGGTATTATACATTTTTGTAAAGCGTATGATCAATGTATTAAAAGCGTGAGGCGTGGGCGAGGCGTCCGAGGGGAAGCCTGGCCTAGGCGTAAGGCGTGAGGCGTGAGGCGAAGCCTCACGGGACCTAAATTTTTTAATATATACACTGAGCATACACATATATTATATTAAAAAGAGAAAGATTATTAATCAATAATCACCTGAGCACACACATATATTATAAATATATATATACACACATATATATACATATATTATATTTTGTATGTATAAAATAGAGGATGAAAAGCATAATGAGCACACATATAACAATGCACGTAGACAGCACACACATCAATTATATAAAATCCTGCCCAAAATTTGGGTTTGGGAGTAAAAAAAAAAAAAAAAAAAAAAAAAAAAAAAAAAAAAAAAAACCCACTGGGCGCCACCTAGGCGGCTGAGGCGGCGCCTAGGCGGCTGAGGCGGTGCCTAGGCGGCTCCGGCGAAGCCTTTCGCCCACTCCAGCAAAACTGAGGCGTTTGTCATGGCGCCCAGCCTCAAGGGCGCCCTAGGCGCGCCCCGAGGCGAGTTCTTTAAAACACTGCGTATGATACAACATTATGCGTATCGGTATCTCACAAAGAAAGTACACATTTTGGTGCAAATATTTGGTTGGTTTTACCAATCTACTCAGTTATGTTTTCAGAACCTCAATATCTCCATACATAATATGGGGATTCTTTTTCCTTGAAGATAAAATCACTGGATCGGGGAACTCGATGTATATAGAAAGAAAATCACATTGCATTGCAATAAAAGCAACAAAAGAGTGCCTCACATGACTTTGGGTGGTGAGACAGACAGCTCGAAGCCTTCCCGCCTCATATTCTCAATTAAAATACCTGTATTACACAATATGAAAACTACATTAATAATATGTTTAAACTTAATTAACAATGAAATGTAGGGGCCAGAACCTCGTTGATA